TTTACAGCTGCATCAGCATACATGTTGAACAAAAATCCAGATCAACGTCAGTATAGATACCTGTTCAGCTACAAAAATAAGTAAACTTAAAAATTTAATAATATAAACGCCATAAAAGAAATTCAGCCACAGCCACTGAAGGGGAGTCAATGTGAGTTACTGAAAGCAATCTCTACCAACCAAAATGAATAAGATACACTAATCCAGGGAAGGAGAATTATCCCAAACTGCTCTCACACATATCCAACAGTTACAAAACAACATGAGAGTCTCTGGAAGCAGGTTGTATGCCCTCAAGGACATGTATTGTATGAGAATGGTAAGTCAATTAATTTTTAGGAGGAACACAGAATGCTATATTGAAATATACCAAGTTAAATTATTCACAAAGCAACTCTTTAATGGCTACTTATCCTCTATAATAATAACATTCTTTGCATTTAACATAGCACCTGATCACATTTTGGAGATGTCTCAAAGAGCTTCACAACATATATTGCAAATTGAACTGATTGTGTATTTTGTGGGCAAACGTCGTAGCCAATTGCGCACAGCAGTGACCCACTGTCGTAACCAATTTTTTTTGAGGGATTATTATCCCTAGAAAGCAATCTGCCAATCCACAACAACCAGGTTCCTACTTACTGCTAGGTAAACAGAGGCGTGTGGATTAACGAAACTTGCCTAAGGTTTCGCCCACCGGGACGTATAAACACGAGGGCTATTTATATGGACTCCTACTAATTGACCAAAGCAATAATGCACTTTGCCAATAAACCAAAGTGGAACTCCAAAAAACCTTTTAATTATCTCCACATGAAAATTAGAACATGATGGTCACAGACGGTTCTGTTTTATTGAAAGCAACATTCCTTTTCAAAGTGCTTCATATTTCCAATAGTGTTATCTAAACACCAGTTTTCTACAACAATTATATTCCCCAAATATTAACGTTAATCAATTATACTGTTCAGAGCAAAAATATAAATGATGAAAGATTAATTCAATGATGATAATAGCAGGCTCAATGGCCTGCTGCTGATTCAACAGGTTCCAACTGCAAAGCTGCGTAATTTAACAGCAGTGTTAAAACTCTAAATAATAGCTTCAAGAAGTAATTTCTTTATCCAATCTTAAAGTTGGAATACAGGAACTGTTATGCACATCACATTATTCACCAAATAAAGCTAAAATGTAAAGACAACAACAACAACAACAAGATTCCATTTATAAAGCGCCTTTCACGTCAGGAGGACAAGTGTTTGAGGATCTCCTGAATTATCAAGGATGAAATAAGTAATAAGTAGAATTGTTTAGCTTTGGAGCTGCAATGGAATTTAAATAATTTTATATTATATTAACCAATGCTTCACATAGTTTCCAAAGATAATCCAGGCACCTTAACCTGAATGAAATGAAAATGTGTCATACTAATTTAGATTACAATTTGATAAATAATACCCATTTTGGGTTGTGTTGTTAGGCGGTACATTGTCTAATTTTGTGTCTTTGGGTACCAGCTTTCTGTACAGCAGAAACTGGGAAATGCAATACTACAAGAAGAATAAAAGCTGTGAGGTAAAACATAGTGGCCAACATAAACATTCAAAATCAAAGTGAGGTAAATTCCTCTTTTGATACTCTAGCTTGAAAATTGTTCTCATGTGGGTTGTGAATTTGGAGAAAAGCATAATCCTTGGCAAGATTACACATAAAATGAAGAAACGGTAGAAAAGCTACATAACACTGCCACTGTAAAATACCAATTGTTGGCAACTAAGATTTAGATGACTTTGGCTCATTTTTTTTTAAATGTTCTTGTGTTGGTGTCTTTTATAACATCAATGTTTTTAGAAAGTTTTCTTAGGAATTCTGAGTTGTTTAGTCACATCAATGTGGTTTGTTATTCAGATATGGAAAAATAATGTCTTTAACAGGCAGTGTGATTGTATTATGCGTTTTCCCTTAAATAATCAATCACATAATGTATTTTGGATTCTTAGAATTAAGACAACTTTATGATTCTCAGAACTAAACAGTGATCTGCAACCATGTGTCCATGGATTTCTATCATTGAGTTTGTTATATATATTCCAATAAAACTGGATGAATGTTTTTCAGGAAGACCACAGTCTTCATAAATCTTTTACTCTTCCCATGAGCACTGGAATACGCTCTATTCTCTTTCTCCTGAAACCTCATCTTCCTGGTTGGGGATATCAGCACCTAAGACCCAACAGTTTTCATTGTCTGAGCTTTAAAATTATTGCATAACAAACAAAATAGATACAATGCACGCATAAATACAACAACAGCAACAAATTTACATTTCTATACAGCTCCTTTCACATCAGAAGGATGTCCCAAAGCAGTTGGACAGTCCAGGGTTTGCACCCAAGCTGAGTGTGAGAGCTGTGGGGAAGGATGGGAGATGGAGAAAAGAGTGGGATAATGTGGGAAAGAAGGGGTGGAGGGAACAAATAATAGATATAATAATCCTTGCATTTGATATCGCAACCTTATCACGTTTTCAAGATGTCTCAAAGCGCTTCACAGAATATACTGCAAAATGGATTGTCTGTGTATTTGTTACAGTTGCCACAGAACAATTTTTTACCTTCAGGCACACAGAGCCACAGGATCTATTACTGTTTTCTTTGCACAATTTTGTAATCCTAAATTGAGTAAAATATCATCTATCATCATTGCTATAAGGCAAAACTAGGTTTGAATAAAATCGTAGCAGCAATCAATTTAACTCTTTGAGAACAATAGCTGGTGGGTCAAATAGATACAAAATGTTTTTCTGATCTTTACCAATAGCCACATGCATTCAATTATAGCTTGTATTTATTTGAACTCTGTCATTTCTGTGGTTAATGAAAGTTAACTGGTGGAACCCAGAAGCAGTTATAGTTGAAATACTTTCCACAAGTGAGTGAACTGAAATACAACAAAGCTTTTCAATGCCAGCCTATATCCCATTCATTTTGCAAGAATGCCATTGGACAAAGCCAAACTTTATAATAACCCGTATGCCCCCAATGTTAACCATGGACAGTCAAAGCAGTATTTTTTAAAAACCGAAATAGATACAGAATTTATAGATGTCTATACCAGAGCTCAACACTTGAAACTAACTTGGAATAAACCCAATCTCACACAGGACACAATATTTCCTACTCACTGAAATTCATTATCTCAAGAACTCATCCTGGATACTTACCTTAAAGCTGTATTTCCTACCTCATTTAATGTTTTTTTTCTGATGAAACTTTACATCTTAACAAATTCAGAACTCAAAGCCTTTTCCACTTTTATTGTTTTGAAACACTGAAGTACCAATCTCCAACAATAACACAGGGAATTGTTGTCAGGATTCACAATCAAAGGTCCATTTTCAAAACTGTACAAAAAACATTCAGTGGCGAAAGGATTAATTGTCACATCTTAATTTACATCTGACAAGATTTAAAGTGTCTAAAATATCACAGATATTAAAGCAGAACAGTCCCTAAGTGGCTTCAAAGCTTGATAAGGCAATACAAGATTGTTCGCAGCAACAGACAAACCACTGCAGAAATTAATTTCATGGCTTTAATAAAAGCCACATTAGATGCAGCACAGATGAACCATCTGATTTTAATTAGTGATGCGAATCAAGTAGTAATAGATAATGGTGGAATGCCAAACATTCATAGCAATGTCGCTTTACGATCCTCCGATGTCGGCTCTTCCTTCCATTGCAAAGCAGAATTCACCAAGCGTTGGGATTGTTCACCCACTAACAGAGAATGTGAGCTGGGATTAGTCCATTGTGAGACAGGTTAGTTTTACCCTACTGATTATGTGTTGTTGCAATAGTAATCCTTGAAATTGACTTAGATTAAGTGGAACATTCCACCCAATATCTTAATGTTTTTAGTCAGAGAGACCGGCTAATCAAGCTGTTTAAAAGCAATTCAATACCTCATTAAGTATTACAAAAATGTTCTTTTACTATCTGAGGTTTTTGAATCCTAAAGGACTTTTTTGACATGAAAGTTCTAACTGAATGTCAAAATAAATCTGTAATAGAGAACATTTGTCATAGAAAGCTACACAAAAAGTCAAATTTTAAAAAAATCCTACATTGGAGCAAGAGAACCTGAGAAACATCTGGATAGTATATACAGGTATAGTGGAAATTTGCAGAGTCAGAGACTAAGGTGTTGACGGTAGACTAATTTACACTTCTAGTGATTTGGAGTAAATTGTGAATGGTGGCTAGTGGGAACAGATGTTCAAATAACTGCAAATCTAAGAATGAATTTCTTCAATACATCTTTCAGCGCCTTGGGACAGCCTCCCGACATGAAAGCGCTATACAAATGTAATCTTGTTGCTGTTGTTTCAACTCAACCATATTTTCTGTTCAAGAGTAAATCTCTATCAATTTCAATAAGCGTGCCTCACTGGTGAGGTTAACCAAGTAAATTATGGTGCTCTTATTCCTGCTAACTAGTGCAAAACCCAACTAATTACAACAGTTTTTTGGCCACACATAGTAGGTTCTCTAGATTCTTCTGAAATTCAAGAGTGCCACAATTTACAAACTGCTAAATTACACAAGTGGCACATAAGTGTGTGTAAATCTGCAGTGCTATTGAATTATATGATTTTGTAAAGCTGTAGCATTGTTCCACCGACAAGATATATAGTCAATCCACTTTAAAGTATTTCCTGTGAAGCACTTTGAGACTTCTCGACAACGTGATAAGGTGCTATAAAAAATGAAAGGATTATTATTATTATTGTATTCTACCATTATATGGACCAATTGCGGGATCAGCTAGATGGGATCTAATGGTCCTTTCTGATCCTCTATAGTCCTGTTCAGGAAAAAGTTTCTTTAAAAATAATTTGAATGACTGTATTCAGCAATACCAATAAAGTTAGTCAAACCTGTGTTACTTACTAGGTAAACATGCCAACAATTATTGCTTGCTGTATTCACATACCTCCAGTAGAGAATTCTTGCTTTGGTATTCAGACTGTGTGCTGTCAGTCACAGAGAAATTCTCATCCGGAACAAGCATATTAAGTCTGGAATTTATCTCATCCAATTGCTGTAGATATGTGAGTTCTGATGTGTATCCATCTTGTTCTGGCTTGGATGTTGCCCAGAGCTCTAAACTTTCCTGAAGAGCGAAAGGTACAAAGCTTTGCTATAATGTTGTGAACAGAAAAATTGGCACTTAAACAACAGTAATGAATGTAGTGCTATACTACCCAATTAGGCACAAGGAAATGAAAAACAGAGCAAGCAATGATTGTGGGAAAGGTTATAATTTGACTTTTGAAAAAGGTTTCTGAAACATGAGATAGCAATAATGTGCATTAAGGTACATTGCCACAAGCATCAACTTATAACTCCAGGAATACATAATTCTCTTTTGAGTAACTTCTAATGACAATCAAAATATTTCTCTCAATTAAGTCAATTCACTTTCAAATGGAAACTTTCAGAGAGAACGTTGAAGAGAACAAGAATTATGGTTCCTAGACATCAATAAATCATCATCAAATAAATTATAAGTCATTTTGAGATAAACAAGTGAAGTAAGATTATGCTTAGGCTGAACAATTTGTTAAAGTGGACTTTTTTTGCTGTGATAATTCCAGTAAAGAAATAATATCTGTATTTTCTGTTCACTAAGATTGCAAGTGAAGAAGAAAATGAGGTCTTTGCACATTCATTGTACAATTCATTTTAGCAAAGAATGTTGAAATCAGTGAAAGTTATATTTACTGAGAGCTCAAAGAACTTGTCTCTTTCCCAGAAATAAAAGTGATGTAAAGGCAATTGTAAAACAAATGTCCAATTATCTGCTGCATCCTTTGAAAGCCCAGCAAAAAATTATTTGCTTGGAGCGAAGTATCACTGGGTCCTTTTTTTAAAAAAAAAATCAACAGGGAGCTTTTTTGCCCAAACTTCAGGTCTATGAGTCAGATTTTCAGAGTGCTTTTAGAAGGACTGCCTGTTTGGGAAATCTAGGCTCCGGCATCAATCCAGAGATGAAAGAAAATATTGAAGCACAAAGCAAATTTAAAAATACAAAAAGTAAAGTTGTTTTGAGGTTGCATTCAATGCCAGTGGACCACGACAAAAGGCAATTCAGAAATGTTCTTTCATCTCAGCACTGATCTAACATTTATTAAATACTTCAAACTATTGGCAACTTCTTCAAATAAAAATAATTGCCAAAACAGATTTAAAATAGTAGTGTATACCATATCAGTTTTATTCATCTACAATTTAAAACAGATTTTCTCAAATTCAGAATATGGCTGGAGATCTATTTTGAAGTCAATAACAACTTTGTTATCAGAGCTATCAATAAAAAAAAATTTTTTAGGAATATATATTGAAAGCCAAAATAAATATGGTGCATTGCTAATGAAACATTCTTTTTCATCACACTGTCCAACTTTGCTCACAAAGATTTTTTTAAAAAATGTGTTATTTGTTAACTTGCATTGAAAACATAATTTTGGCTTCTTTATTTTGCTTAGGGAAGGAGAATATAAAATATAAATTAATAAAATATGTGTGTTGTCTTCCACTTCTGGACTTCTGTGCACTTCTATTTTCTGGAGCAGTATAAATAAAATATTTCACCATAGCAAATGGGAATATGTCACCCTATCATATGCTCAAATAATCCTCTCAACTTATCCTATGACATTTCTGTTCTGGCAGCTTTGGTTTGTTCTCCAAGCTCCAACTGGGAACCATACAATTTTAACACCCAACTGCCGAATCATTATCTTCACAAATCTTCACTAGTCAGCTCTGGCCTTCCTCAAAACCCCCCTCCACCTCATCTCACAGGACACTTTCACCCCTACCCCACCCACATATGGGACAATATAGGTCCTATGGTGCATTTGAGTCTGTGACTATCCCTATAATTGTCACCCTTGTTCCCAACCGGATATTCATAACTCTTATTTGAAATAGTTAATCAATTCAATCTGTTTGTTTTTGCAGGAATCAGTTCAGCAAATCCATATCTGGTGGGAAGATTGGGGGAAACCTTTTTTTCCCCTCAACATTTGTAAGTCATGAACCACGTCTTAGGAACATATGAACATAAGAATTGTTACACGAAAAAAGACCAAGTCCATCTTTCTGCAAAGTGAATGATGCAATTAATTTGCTCCTCGTGAAAAACATATTCTGTTAAAATCAAGTGATTAGGTAAAATTTGGATGCATGAAACTTTTGAAAAAAATCAAAACCATAATCTGCAAATTAATAGAGTGATATTTGTTACACTTTTAGTTACAACAACAAGATATCAATAACCTTTAGAAACTCAATGTTTCATTTAATGAATGCACGTGCAGTTGCTAATTCGACAAGGAAAAAATTCTTATGATTTTAGGCACAAATACAAAAACATCAAACAACTTGCCTTACCTCATTACTTGATCTATTATCATTTTCAGTGTCCACATTCTTCAGTAGTTCTGCCAACCTTTCCTTTTCATCACTGGTCAGCAGTACCAGGTTCCTGGCCTCCTTTGCCAACTGTAAGGATTATTGACAATGATTTATTAACAACTGTGGCTCGAAAGATATACAGGACAAAAGGGAGCATTGTACAGAATCAAGATGCAAGTGGATACATCCTATATTAAAAGGTGACCTCACAAGAATAAACAAAGGTTAACTTTAGGTATTTTTATCATCATTGGTCCTTTTGCCTTAGTCTATACCATGCAGTTACAAAAATATTTTCATGTACCTGTATATTCTTTTTAATAAAATCTTTGCTCGTTTGGCTGCCTTTTTTGGGAGATGATTTTTCCTTACTTTCGTCTTGGTTCGGGGTATTTTCTGAGATATCTGGAAGTAATTGAACTCCTTCAGCACTGATATGGCACTCTGTCAACAAAGAAAATTATTCATAGGGCAAGTTTATTAAACGGCATAAAACTGTTCCTCATCAGCTCTTGAACTGCTTCAACTCAACACAGAAGGCAATCAATAACACATTAAATCCTAATATAGAAATATATATAAATATACTTTCAAGAATATTGCACAGTATATGCGCAAAGAAGTGGACAAATAAAATGGAATCTCATACCAAAGTAATGTGTGTATTTTTGTACTTAATTAAACTAATACTAATAATGTAGTTTCTGTGGTCTAAAATGCAGAAATTTCAAACCTTCATTAAAGAATTTGAGTCCTTCTGTTTACCATAAAGTGCATCAGGTCTATTCATGAGAACTCTGCTCCAAAAACAGATTTCCCTTGAGTTAATGTGTATCCAGTTACGAAAAATCTCATTAAAAATTGCCAAGTTTCGACCCTAATAACTCAGTTGTGAACAACTTCCAAATGGTGAATTCCAATTGTTGGTTGTTCTGTCAGAAGGAGAAACACACCTGTTTCCTTCTTAACTGGTAGTGGTGCAATTCATAAAGAAACACATGTCTTTTTTAAAAAAAGGATAAATTAATTGTATTATGGGATCATATCACCAAGCTTTTAGTAAATAGTGGAATAATAATTCAGCATGTGTCATGTTTATAGATATTAATTGCCTTACTGTTTCACAAGATACCAGGTGCTCAGTTTAGAACTGAAGGTGTCACTGGGTTACACAATTGATTTTTTTTTACTGAGTTTAAGATGAGGGCACAGGTGCACCTCTCAAAAGGATTCAAATTCCAATGCAAACCTATTATAGGCATTTAGCTAACCATGTTCCACTCAGTGTAAGTTTGCCTCTCATAAATGTATGAAAGGATAGTCCAATTACACATGAATTAACCTTAAACATAACGTATTGGCAGCTCACATAAAATAAGATGTAGTTCCACCATCTGTACTACATTTAAAAATATAGACTTCTAAGATATACATTAACTATAAACTACAAGTATACCACATTGGCTTCGCTTTAAAAGAGAATAAAAAACTGATAACTTTAACATTCAAACTGCTATGGTTATAACAACTAAAACTGCATTAAGTTTTTTCCTCCTAAGAAGCAGTAAGCCAAATACCAAAATATATTTCACTCCATGGTGCCAAGCTCTACTTATGTTATGGATTTAGGATCCAATTCAGAAAGCTAATCAAATCCATAAAAATGCAGTGTTCCATAATACTTCCTTCAATTAAGCACATTTTTCCATACCGAAATGAGTATTTGCCAAAGACTAACAGAAAGCTAGTTTTTGTGAACTCAGGAAAGCTTTGCTATTGAGCCACAGCATTTAACCACTTCAGGCTTGAACTTGTCATTGGGCTAGAATTAAGCCAGAATTTAGGGTACAGTGAATGGTATCTACTGAGCAGCAATTCCAGGAAAGCAGCTTGTACTGTGCACAATTGGCTGCTATGTTTCGCCCACAAAATATACAGTCAATTCACCTTACAGTATATCTGTGAAGCGCTTTGAGACGTCTCAAAGACATGATAAGGATTACTATTATTGTAGTGTGCAACAATGTTCATCCAAAGTTTAATAATAAACAAGATACGATACATTTCAAATTATGCATTGGAAATGTAATCACCTCCACTATGCTGTTTCTGAAACAATTGGGCAAAGGTTTAAACTCATGATTTCCCACACAACAAATTCCAGATTTCCCAACATTTCTGACAATATTACCAGGGAGAGATACTAAGCTGAGGCGAGTTTCTTCTGTAATGGGAGAAATGGAAAGCATCCCCACCACCCACCCCAAGGATAGTCACTAGTTAGTCTAGACCCTTATAGAAACTGGTAATGACTTTCTTTTACGTCCCCTCACATCACTTAATTTACAAAATTCCCTCATTTGATTTTCATCATGCAGACAATTGAGATGACTTTGGACTTAAGACTTGGACTTTAATTGGTATTTGACTGCCATCTACTGTTTAACACAAAATGTTACATCACATATCTGCTCTGCAAAGCAGCTCTGGACATTGTTTAATCACATGAACATGATTACTGTACAGGGATATATAAATGTATCTAAATATAATTTTTTGCTGAGCACTTTTTATGGAACACTGCTGATTAGCTGCTGCATTCTCCCACTAGTACAGTCACTATACAAAACTTTCCCGATATTATAGGCATTAATATCTAATGCAAGTATTATTATTTGCAAATCGAATTTAGCAACAAACATAGATAAGTTACTGTACCAGTGAAAAGAAATAAGAATGGAACCTAATCACAACAAAACACCCCTAGAAGCAAACTATGAGCAGCATAGACAGTGACCACAAATACAAATAATGAAGAGAATAGGAAATTAAGTTGGTCACATGAAGAAACAAACATCTGTTACATGATATTATCCATACAATTATGTAATTGTGCCTTTCCTGTATCTACTAAAGTGATTTTTTTTTAAATGTTCCATTAAATAAATTCCTACACACAAAGTCTACATCATAATGGACCTTTTTATCCAAACTTAAGTGCAGGACACTTACTCATTAAATTAACTCATTAAATTCAGTTCTACGGGTTTGAATGATTGCGCAATTGGCCTCACTAAAATCTCACTACACGTCTCAATTACCACAATCTGTTTAAATGTTGATGCATTTAGCCAAACCTCTCTAGCAATTTTGTAAAACTGACAAGCGGAATTCTTGTATCCAAACTGTCCACCAGATGGCATCTTATATCTAAACCAGTTCTTTTCAAGATTTTTTTTATAATTTTACAGTTGTCAATTGAAGTTTATTGAAATATATATCACTGCAAAACAGAGCATACAATGTCATCAGTCGTGTATTATTTCCTCTGTCAGCTAAATTTATTACAGCCCCTAGTTACCTAATGAAAATTTATATTAAAATCCAAACCTAATAATAATAATAATCCTTGCATTTGATATAGCGCTTTTCACGTCGGGAGGACGTCCCAAAGCGCTTCACAGAACACACTGTAAAGTGAATTGACTGTATATTTGTGGGCGAACGCAGCAGCCAATTGCGCACAGCAATGTCCCACAAACAGTCGTAGATTGAAAATGACCAATTTTATTATTGTTTTTGGAGGGATTATTATTAGGCGTGTGGAGTAAGGAAACTTGCCCAAGGTTTCGCCCTGCCTGGAATTGAACTCAGGTCTCTCGCTTGCAAAGCGAGTGCTCTCACCACTGAGCTGCAGGACTCCATTACTGTAAACCCTGTTGCAAAACAGATGGGAAATTAATATCTTTATGAAATAATCTGCATTTTTGAAGATAATTCAATAATGCAATTATCCAACACAAAAACAAACTAAGGACCAAAGACTCTATTGTTGAGCCCCACAAAAAGAGAAATCAAGTACTTCACCAATTAAGGAGTCACGTGTTTCACTATAGCCACTTTTAAAAATGTTTGAAAGCATCTATCCCAGTTAGTTTCAATTAAATGTAGTTTTCATTCATTTGAACTTGCTGCTTACATTCATGGCATTCATTGAAGTGTTGTTGAGTTTCTCAACCAGACAGCTTCTGATTATCCTGAGGTTTGTTCATAGAGAACAAAGGTTATGATCAAAAGATGCCAAATTAATATTTACATACTTATTACTTATTCTCACCTTGGCCTCCTTCTTTGTTACACCGTTCATATTCCTCCAAAGGGAGTTGGGTGTGGAATATTGGTCCAACTGACAGATCTTCACCAGTTGTGCCTGATCAAGAAAAAGTAGCAATCTGATGACTATGGTCATAACTCTGCTTAATGGCTAGCTATACACACAGAAATGTAGACATTGGTTAAATTCACAGTCTGAATACATTTTTTTTAATAAACAGAGCAGCTTGTAATTCTGCAAAATGTTTCACATTTCTAATAAAGGTCAATTCAACCTTGTATTCACAGTCAAGTATATTTTACTTACATTTTGCAAATGAAATCATTTTACACAAAATACCTTTTTGAACATCAACCAAAATCATATATTTCTTCTAGCCACTTACTATTTTTGGAGTAAGATGGTGTCAAAGCTAAGAATCGGAGTGCATTTTCTGACACTTCATGACTGTCTTCCACTCCCTCAGAGTATGCATCCTAAAACAAAGAGAACCATTACTTTCCAGCTTTATAACATGGTATTAATGGCAATGAGGACAACACATTACATTTACTAAGTTTATTTCATAACTGAGAATGAAAGAAAATATTTCACAAGAACTTTAATGGTCCCACATTTCTTCAATACAGGCTGCTTTGGTGTAGTGCAAATGTTCCTGTTGTAATTTACGTGAATTAAGCATAAATGTATGTCATATAAACATTAAAAAGTAGAGAATAGGAAAAGGTATGCAGTTCACCAAAGGTCATCCCTCCAGCATATTAATTCTACTATTGGAGTGCTATAATGAATAACCCTGAAGTGTTTCCCTTTATTGCCTTATATTGGTTTATGACTATTCCAAACATTTGCACACTTCAGATATCAGGAAAAAAATCTTTACTATTCAAAATATTATCCACTGGCCTAATCTATAATGCCTTATTGTCATCTACAGAGGCAAAATCCAATGCATGGACCAATATTTTGCAGACAACATGTCAAACTGCTGTCTTTAGGTGGAATCAACAGACTAAAGCTATATAGTCCTGTCCTGCACTGCATTCTGAAGTAGAACAGATATACTGCACATGTACTTCATGAACTTCACCAACTAGTATCCAAATGGAAGTTTATTTTCTAATGTTATTTCAATAATGAATGTATCATTTATTTTAATAAATCTTGAAATTGAAGACAAAATACTCCACAGAGCAAGACTAGATGGAATTAAAGGGCTCGGGTGTATCTTAAAGGGACAGTATCTTGAGGTGACTTTCCTTTTTGTTGCCTTGCGAAATAAGGAAACCAACTGTAAAAATTAGTACTATTTTTACTATGATTTATGATTGTCTGTCATATTTAAAGTATCATTTTTGACTGGGATTATTTTTCCTCACAAGACTTACTTTTTCTTTAAGAGACATTCCAGACTGTGCATTGCTGTTGGGTGCTGCCTTCTGGGCCTCTTTCTCACTCTTTTCCTAGCAATTGACATGTACAGGATACAAAGTAATTTGATTTGGGCTTATCTGTAAGTCAAAGGGCACTATAATAGATTTTCATTAATATGTTGAATGAATAAACACCGTTACATTAGACCTCAATGAAAACTTGAATCCCTATCTTTAAACATTCATTCGAGTATTTTCAACTTCCTTTTCGTTTTCTATTTCTTTGGCCTTTTCTTCTGCTTCTTTAGAAGGTCTTGGTTTCACATTCCTTTTGTTTTAACGTTTCTCTTTACTTTCTCTCATCCCAAACTTGATTGATTACTGTTATAATCCTAATTTTCACATTTTTACAATTTTGTTGTTGCTTTCTTTGGACTTTTAACAACAACAACTTGGATTTATATGGCACCCTCCATGCCGGACGGCGTCTCAGAGCACTTTTATCATTATGTCCAGGCATCACTTACATTTTTTTTTCTATCTTTATACTATTTTCTTTCATATTCTATGTGCTCTTATTTCCTTCCTGCTGTGTCATTTCCTTTTAATACTTTCAGTAGTGTCTTTTCCATATCTTGTTTTCAATTCCACCTCTAGAGGCACAAAGACTGGACTTGAAGAAAATTGAGAGCAGTCAAGGTTAAAAAAAGGGGTGGGAAGGTACTGAAATGAAATGAATGGAGTTTAAAGTAATCATAATTGACTTGAATAGATTTGAGGACTGCTGCCGAAACAACCAGATTCCACAAACAATATAAGCATTTGCTGTCAGTTTACCTCCAGTTCTTCCCAGAGTTTTTTCCTCAGCACTCGTCCTTGTTCATTCACTTCCTTTTCTTTTTCCTGCTTCTCTTTCAATAACTTATCCAATCTCTTCATTTTCAGCACTGCTTCTTGAAGTTGTGGATCTCCAAACTTGTCATACAAATCTTCTTGCTTAGAATTATCTAGGCATTTCATCAAAACAATATTTAATCTTTACACTGGTAAGGATTTACAATATTGTAGGAATAGTAGTAGTATGACAAATCAAAATCTTGAGAAACCAACACTACATACAGTATTTGTACGACTGCGTAGTATTCTTTCCAACAAGCTTTGTTTTTTACTTCAGCCATTATGAACCTTTGCCACAGATTCCTCAACTGCTGGCTTGATCAAAGGCTAATCTTTCCAATTACTCCTTCCATTGGGAATCTCCTTTGTTTGCCTGCCTATTATTTATACAAGTACAGTAGCATGCTAAATATAGCAAAATATGGAGCCAACTCCTTCGAATCTATCATTTCCACCCCTAGAGGTCAAATGGGCACAAAGACTGGACATGATCCATAATTTTCACTTCTGCACCACTGAGATCTCTAGCTCACTACCGGGGCAAACTATCACTACATACAAAGGCAAAGACAAATAACGAGAATGGAAAAACTGTTTAATTTAATTTTGGGCTTCTAAATAAATAGAATTTCAAAATTCTCATTGAAAAATATGAAACTTTCAAAACTATGTATTTTGGAATACATCTTAAACATTTCTGTGAAACCTATTTTTTTTTAAAAATTGCTGTTGCAAAACAGTCTCCACAAACAAGGGGTGAGGATAATTGGATGGATAACAGTCGCACATACTCTGAGGCCATCTCAGGATTCAAATCCAACTCTTCCTGGTGAGGTCATGATTTCCGCTTTCACGACTGGGTCTTGTATGAAATTAATTGAGGAAACCAGTCGGCATGTAGGCTCAACATAAATTACCATTAAGACAGCAATTGATTCAGTGGTCATATGAATTACTGGTATTTGAAATTGAAATGACAAACAATTGTGAGTTCAGAGTTTGGGGTTAAAGCATACTGTTGGGCAGCGTAGAGGAACATTTGTTCTACATGTGGTCTAGCTGTTGCTCACCCCGGAATACTCGATGATTTCTTTTTCGTGGAGTCCTATAGCTCAGTGGTTTGAGCACTCGCTTTGCAAGCGAGAGACCTGAGTTCAATTCCAGACAGGGCGAAACCTTGGGCAAGTTTCCTTACTCCACACGCCTAATAATAATCCCTCCAAAACCAAAAACAATAATAAATTGGTCATTTTCAATCTACGACTGTTTGTGGGACATTGCTGTGCGCAATTGGCTGCCGCGTTCGCCCACAAATATACAGTCAATTCACTTTACAGTGTGTTCTGTGAAGCGCTTTGGGATGTCCTCCTGACATGAAAAGCGCTATATCAAATGTAAGGATTATTATTATTATTATAAGTCCTCTAATTGGTTGTTTGTTTCACAAAGCTACAATGAAAACTATCATGAGAAATTATTCTTATTTAATGCCCAAATGTTCATCCAAAGATATTTCAAAGGAATGTTGGGGAAAGAACATTGTTCATTTCTGCTCTGTGATACTTTATTCACAATTAGTGTCTAGATATCTATTTGTTTTCAGCTTTGAAAAATTCAATATGCTTTTGTTCCTTTGTAATGTAAAAGAGCTGGACAAACATAAGAAACTATATAAAATAATGTTCAATTCTGAAGGTTAGAAGTGTGCTTTTACCAGATTCATTTTTTAATGTCGGTGTCTGCTGCAAATGATCCTCGGAGTCTTCTTCTGAATCTTTTGGAGTAGAAAGATTTTCTGAAAAAGAAGGATTCTCTATGATAACAGCTTAGTGAACATGCTTATTAAAGCTTCTTCAAGTTCTAAATTCACTCATCATACCAGACTTTACTGAAGTCAGCAGGGCCTGATGTTCTGAATGAATTTGCTCTTGAGGCAAATATCCTCTTCCAGGATATGCAATGTCAGCATCCACGGTATTCATGTCCTCCTGGTCATTGCAGAGATCACCTTCATGAGCCAAAATCTCGCAGGAAGAATTAAATAAGGATTCACTTAAGAATTCCATGGAGGTGGTCGAATTTTCGAAAGTATTAGGCTGTTCCTGTCATGAAAATAAAATAAACGTGCAAGTAGATTGAATGTTTAAATGGGTATCTTTGATCTGCCCAAAATAGAATATTTTCACATTTATTATTCAAAGTCCAATACAGACTGATTGTTATGACAAGTGACTTATTTGTTTTGTTTTTGAATGAAACTTATATTTATAAACAAGTATTGAAACATTCCCAGATGTTAGTAATCGACATACATTAGATCCCACTTTCACTATTTTGAAACTGTGTGTCCATTATTTAAAAAATAAACTAACATTTGGCTGAATTAGGGTATTTTCGTTTCAGACCTTTCATGCTGCATGTTATCTCAAATAGATAAACAATAGCATTTTCCATTAAAGAAGAATACATTGTGTCACATCTTTTAACACAAATAAAAATAACTTCAACACATTGTTTCAATTTATGTTTTTTGTTGCTACTTTGTTAATTACTAAGGGAAAAGGTTTTGTGATAGCATACGGTTTACCTGGGATAAATTTGGTTCAGGAGTCAGCACCGTAAGAGTTCCAGTGGACTGCACGTTCAGTCTTCGTCCGTCGGGTGATACACTACTTACTACTCTGCTCCCAAGTCGCGATTGTGAACCAGATGCCGGAGATGATATCTCATCCAGACTGCCCCTAGTAATGTCCATTGCAATCTAAAATAATACAACACAAAATTACATTGGTACAGAGCCTTTCACGTTGGACGGACGTCTCAAGGTGCCTGGACAGTCGGGGATTTGGATTTGTTGATGTAACACGATGAATAAAATACGTTATCGTGTCTAAACTAAAACGTTTCTAAAGCTAAGCACAAAAACCTCTCAATACCAATGCAATCCACAACATTAAACCAGAAGATTGGAAGGTTCGAGTTTGATCACCGCATTTCTCTCCCCCCCCCCCAAAAAAAAAACATTAATACCGAAACAAATGGCACATACAATTGTGAACGAAGAACGAATCGTCAAAGTAGAACACATCAAACACACAGAATTAAGTGTGCAAACAGTGAGAGTTTACCTCCCCCCACCCCCACCCCCCCACCAAAAAAAAAACACCCCACTGGTTTAATTCGCGTTTAATTCTCTCCTCCATCTCCTTTCAATTCAGAACAAATCAGAACGTCCTCCTGAGTCGATAAAAAAAACCGCAGCACTGAATGATGATCAATAACAATAATCCTGGCCTTTGACGCAGAGCCTTTCAGACACTTACACACCGACCCTCTCCCTCCCCAGTCCCCACCCCACACCCCCCACACCCACCCACAGGCTCCTCAGCACCACCAGGGCCGAGACCAGCCGTTCGTTCCCTTGGCAACCGCTCCGGCTCCAACGCCAAACACCAGCTCCTTCACCTGAACTCCCCCCCCCCCACCCCCCGACCCCGGGGCAGACGCAGGCCCAGCCCAGCCCGGGGCGGGCACTCCTGGCTCCGGGGCTCAGAAACTCTCTCCACACTCACTCCCGACACTCCGGAACGCGGTGCTGCTCAATACAAACGTGGAACTTCATTGGCCTCAGAGAGAGAGACAGAGAGGATTACCCTCTCCACTGCACACCCCCCCACCCCCCCCATCCCCCCCCCCACTGCACCCCCCCCACCCCCCCCATCACCCTCCCCACTGCACCCCCCCCCCCACTGCAACCCCTCCCAATCACCACAACCCCCCCCATCACCCTCCCCACTGCACCCCCTCCCAATCACCACAACCCCCCCCAATCACCCTCCCCACTGCACCCCCCAATCACCCTCCCCACTGCAACCCCCTCCCAATCACCCCCCCCACTGCACCCCCTCCCAATCACCCCCCACTGCACCCCCCTCCCAATCACCCTCCCACTGCACCCCCCCTCCCAATCACCCTCCCCACTGCACCCCCCCTCCCAATCACCCTCCCACTGCACCCCCCCTCCCAATCAGCCTCCCCACTGCACCCCCCTCCCAATCACCCTCCCCACTGCACCCCCCCTCCCAATCACCCTCCCACTGCACCCCCCCCACTGCACCCCCCCCACTGCCACCCCCCACTGCACCCCCTCCCAATCACCCTCCCCACTGCACTCCCGTCCCATCACCTTCCCCACTGCACCCCTCCCCTTCCAAGCACCCTCCTCCCCACTACACACCCCTCCCAATCACCCTCCCACTACAGCCCCCTCCCCTCTCAATCACCCCCTCCCCTCCCAATCACCCTCCCCTCTCAATTACCCCCCTCCCCTCCCAATCACCCTCCCAATGCACCACCCTCCCCTCCCAATCACCTTCCCCTCCCAATCACCTTCCCCTCCCAATCACCCTCCCCACTGCACCCCCCTCCCAATCACCCTCCCCACTGCAGCACCCCACCCCTCCCCTCCCAATCACCCTCCCCACTGCAGCACCCCACCCTCCCCTCCCAATCACCCTCCCCAATGCAGCACCCCACCCTCCCCTCCCAATCACCCTCCCACTGCACCCCCCTCCCCTCCCAATCACCCTCCCCACTGCAGCAACCCACCCTCCCCTCCCAATCACCCTCCCCAATGCAGCACCCCACCTCCCCTCCCAATCACCATCCCCACTGCACCCCCTCCCCCTCCCAATCACCCTCCCACTGCAGTCCCCTCCCCTCCCAATCACCCTCCCCACTGCAGTCCCCTCCCCTCCCAATCACCCTCCCACTGCAGTCCCCTCCCCTCCCAATCACCCTCCCCACTGCAGTCCCCTCCCCTCCCAATCACCCTCCCCACTGCAGCTCCCCACCCTCCCCACTGCAGCTCCCCACCCTCCCAATCACCCTCCCCACTGCAGCCCCCCCCCTCTCAATCACCCTCCCCACTGCAGTCCCCTCCCCTCTCAATCACCCTCCCCACTGCGCTCCCCACCCTCCCACTGCAGCTCCCCCCACCTCCCAATCACCCTCCCCACTGCAGCCCCCACCCTCTCAATCACCCTCCCCACTGCAGCATCCCACCCTCTCTACATCATCTCACACACAGACACCAAACTCCCACAACAGCAGCAAGCTTCACTATCATCTTGGACTGTCCAGGGGGGAGTGCAACCAATTTCAGAGGTGCCACCCTTCCGATGAGATGTTAAACCAGAGCCCTCCCCCGCTTTGTTTGCCTGTCCAGGTGCATATTATAGATCCTGTCACACGATTTGACAAGAGATGGCCTCCTCCTGTGAAAGGCTTCATATCAAATGAGGTTTTCATGTAATGCACAATAATTGTTCATTTATTATCATTTCAAAATTTTATGCTAATCCAATGAGGTGTTGTCTGGAATCAAATAGACAAAAATCAAAAGCCATTTTCTTTCATTTTTAAATCCCAATGTCTTGTTCAAAGTGGTGGACTATGGCTGATATGAATCAATTTGAAAGCTATCACTTGATAATTATTTTCAACAAAATGTAAATTACCTCCAAGAAAAAAAAGTCAAGAGGTTAAACACTATGCACAGTCCTATGCTTTGTTTCGTTGCAGGGTACATCAAACATTTTGGGTAGCTTAATTGGCTAAGCACCACACTTAGAACTGGAGGGTACAGGGTTGAATCACAACATTCAACAGATAATAATAATCCTTGCATTTGATGTAGCGCTTTTCACGTCTTCTCGACGTCTCAAAGCGCTTCACAGAATAGACTGTAAAGTGAATTGACCGTATATTTGTGGGTGATCTACTCACTCTTCACCCTTTTGAAATAAATATAATGAACCCAGTGCTAAAAAAAATTATCACAGAAGGAGGGTTTCCCTGAGGACAAATCTCCTCCAAGCATCAGGCTGTTTATGAATACACAAGTGTATAGACTTACAGATAGTTTATGTTTGACCTTGCTGGTTAAACATCAGACCTGAGCATCCAAATACCATTCTGCTCATACATTAAGCTAAAATGCACTTTCAACCTGCATCCTTGATGTGTACCGGGCTATACAATTTGAAGATGGCAGATGCTGCTATTTACCTTGCAAGGAGCATTCAACATCTATTTTATTATTGTTGTCTTCTTCACAGTCTTCATTCAAATTCCGTGGTCTGTTTTCCTGTCCCCTTGATAGAAGAAAACACATACCTGAATGGAATTTGAGATACTCTGTTATCTGTTTTACATTGGAGCTTTTACTGAATCAATTTTCTGCACAAATAGATACAGAAATCTCATTAAACAGAAACCTTGTTACAAGTGGAATAGCTTTTTATGGTTACATTTCAGAAAACAAGGACACCAGAAACGGAAAAGGCTTGTTAAGCCTGTTCTCTGCACAACTCATATGTGATCACTCCTTTGCTGTCTCCTTCCCTGATGACTTAACCTTCCTTTACTGTACTTATTTATTTGGATCCTTGGATCCTTTGATGCAGTAGCCACATCTGTCTTTAGAATTACACTGCTAAATTAACATGAAAACAAGCCTATTGCAGCTCTATAAGCAATTTGAGGAGAACAATTAGGAGCACAATTGAGAATTAGACCCAGTATCAATTGGCATTTAAATTCCTCTGCATGCTAAATTGACCACCGGATGTCCAATCACTCTACTACATTACCAATTAGCAACATTGAACAGAATTAAGTACTTGTCAAAATGAAATTAACCTTAAAATCACTTTAAAATCACCTCAGAAAAATATGAACCCCAGCTGGTATTACACTCATCAATAGTGACAGGAAATGAATGAAATGCTGTCATAGGTACAAAAAGGGAGATCTTATGGGATGTAAGATGAAAAATATTTTGGATTCCAATAAACACAATTTTCTTTCTTTCATCAGTAAACTAAATGTAAGAGTCTTGTAGCTCAGTGGTCAGAGCACTCGCCTCGCAAGCGAGAGACGTGGATTTGATTCCCGGCAGGGCAAAATCTTGGATAAGTTTTCTTACTCTACACGTCTGATAATAATCCCTCAAAAACAATTATAATTTGGTCACTCAATCCACGACTGTTTGTGGGACACAATTGACTGCTGCATTTTGCCCACAAAATATACAGTCAATTCACTTTACAGTATATTCTGTGATGCATTTTGGGATGTCTAGAAAACATGAAAAGCGCTATATCAAATGCAACGATTATTATTGTTGTTATAAAAAGCTATGGTAGAAACGTTTTAAGGTAAGAAACTTGTGATCATCCTGGGGAGTTTTCATTTAGCTGAATTTCATTTCAGTTAATGAAGGCTGTTGGTTTGTCCCCCAATGTGTTGCTTAATGCTGAAATTACTTCATGTCTTATTAGAAAACAGCGCCTTGGGACGTCCTCCTGACGTGAAAGGCGCTTTATAAATGGAATATTGTTGTTGTTGTTGTACCCATTTAAAGAAATAGATTCAACAAATTCCATATCTTGAGGGTTTCCATCTAATTAAAGGGGGTTTGCAAGAAACGTTTGGTGGCAAAAATCAAGAAGGATTTCAAATTTCAATAGTATTTTTGGTCTTGGTAGATAAGATGAAAAATAGCCTCAGAAGAGCGCTTCCTTTTGCACCAACATCATGTAAAATGTAGGATGGATTTTTTATTTGGGAATTTTGCTCCATTTACCTTCAGGTGATTTAGGCGAAACACTGCAGAACTTTTCCACAGGAGTTGACATGAATGGCTGTACTTTATTGTGTTCTTCGGTCAACTGCTGCAAACCTTGCTTCAGTATTTACAAAGAATCAAGAAGTCAAGATCATAAAGTAGAGTTAAAAAGCTTCAACACACAAGCAGTAGGAAAAGATGGATAATGAGTTAATATTTACATTAATACTCAATAGAATATTTTCTTGAGCAAAGGCCATCCACCAGGTTCTGATTGCAGATCTTCAGACGCATATGTCACAAATCGGATAAACATTTGAACAATATAAAAGGGTATCGGGAAAGAGTGGCTATTTAGATTTAGAGCAACTGGCTTCAGTGAAGGAGCTAGTACCAACATAGACTCAGTGAAACAAACAAGCTCCTACTTCTTGTAATTTCTATGATTCTACAATAGCAAATATTTAGAAATATCACCAAATTATGAAAGATGTTGTAGTATCAAAAACTCCACTGTCATCTTACAGAATTAAAATGGTTTATTTATAAGTGTGTCCTCAGGAATCCAGCTAAATATCAAACAACCCACCATCCCATTATCGTAGGCAGACAAAAAAAAGAGAAAAAACATAAATAAGCACTTTCCTTTAATACAAAGTCTTTCACATGCTTAAATCAGATGATAGAATTGATATAAATGCACAGGAAATCGGAGTAACCAAAATATTCTCAATGGTCACTTAAATATTCTATTTACAGTGATAAGATCTGCAACTTTTTCTAGACATATAAACATGTTGGCAATATATACATTATTTGAATGACAAAAGAACAGTCAGTACCTC